CATCATGATCCCCATCATCATCTCATCTCCTATCCCTCGGAGCGCAAATGGCACTCTCTTGATACAGTCTCCGCTTCCCAATACCTGACATCTCTCTCTCCCTCCATCATCCTCTCTCTCCCTTCATCATCCCATCTCTCCCTTCATCATCCCATCTCTCCCTCAATCATCCCATCTCCTCACCACATACCTCAAGCTTCTCTCCTTCCAGAAATGACTACCCTTCATCTCCAATCAAGCTCCTTTCTTGCCCTATTATGTGGTCGTTCTAATCGGCTTGCCCGCGCTATCCTCAACCCATTATCGCTACGGACAGAGGATCTTCTTCTCAGAATGCCTTTTATGTTACCCCTGATATTCAAATCATCCCAGGATGGCGGTAAACTCAGATGGAAGTGTCTTTTATCCTTCATCACTCTCACCGATTTTTCTCTGACTGGATTGGAAAGCGCTGGCATTTTCAGAGTCTTTCCTCGGGCTTAACCCACCTTCATTTCTAAGGTAATCACATTGCTGTTCTCCCCAGAAACATAAATATGCATCAAAGAATTTGGCTCACCTCACCTCCTGTTCAATGACATTGAATCAAAGAATAGTCAAAAGCATATCTTACTTCAGAGTTCAGACCCACCCTTTTTGGTTATCATATCACAGAGATGGAAATGAATTGGCCTTCAACCCGAACTAGGAAACTCATTCATCAAACTTATACTTCGCTAGAGAGAGAAGAAAGGGAGAAATTTCTTTTCATTTCTCACCAAGTTTAATACATGAATGCGTCAGCCTCGAGATCTATATATCTATATTCAGAACAACCCATCCATCCTTTACCACTGATCTGAATATCAGGACAAGACCCTTTCGCACTGCAAAGATTAAATCTTTTAAAAAGTGGGACTTGATGTTCAAGGCAACGTTGTGATGGTTTAAAACATGAATTGTAGGCCTACAAAAGCTACAAAGTCTGTATTGCAAGATATCATAGCTATATGAAAGTGAAGTTATCTCCGACTTGTCACCGGAAAGCAAATCAGAGATCTCTATCCATGAACATTGGGGTTAGTGTGAACACCCCCTATGCATTGCCAGATAACACAAAAAACATCCCAAATGTCAAAATCAGCATTGGAAATGATGATCCTTCGCCACCAGATAAAGACTTGGCATTATTCTAGGCCTGTAATCCTGAATAAACCGCAAAGTCATACAACAGGGATTAAAAAGATGGGAAACCGCCTCCGAGATGGAGATTTCCTCATCCTTCTTTTCTTTTTTTTTACTCCCGCATCTCTTTACTCCTACGTTGGAAGACTCTGCTGGAGTGATGGGTGAAGAGTATCTTCACTGATGAAAGGGAAAGGCTTGTTCTAGGAAAGATGCAGCATTCATCTGAAATCCATGTAATCATTCTTTTGATCCCCTCACAATACTGGGATGAGCTGAAGTTTTCTATAAGAGTCTCTTAATTGGTTTCTATTCTCTCTCTGGTAGATGTATTTCTCTCATCGTTCTACCCATCTTCTCTTTTCCCTTCCTTTCGCTAAAATAAGAGTGTATCAGTGATATATTGAATTTGTTTGATGTCATTCTCTCAAGCTCTTATTCCCCTCCCTACCACTAACCCCTCCCTACTAATGATCCCTTCCCCTCCCCCTAAATAGATAAACATGTATGCCTCTCTGTTGTTTCCACACTATCATGTAAAATAAGATTAATTCCCAAGTGTGAAAGTGGTTATGAAAGGAGACCCATTCTACCTTGTTCTGTGCCCTTTACCTTGACTTTCTGGGCCAGTGAATTAGGTCTAGTTAGATGTTTTGGTATGGCCTATCAACTCTCATCTCTCCGCAATGGTCTATACTTTCGATTCTCAACCTACGCACAAGCGGCGGAGGCGAGCACACCTGGTCAAACTTACTGATCATTACGATCTTAATCACCCAACCCTAGGAGTGGTTAAAGGCTACATCCATGTAAACCTATATCCTGAGAACTGGTCTACACTGTAAGTCTGGTAATCTCTGCTTGTCATCATTGGGTAATTTGGGTATTTAAAGGGATATCAAACCATATTTTGTATATTGATCACTGAAATGTGTTGGTAGGCTACCATAGCATTCATACGCATATATATACAAAGTTACAACAATTTATCCAGATCATGAGAATAAACTACTTGTAGATATACCCAATCAAACATCTTACATCCTTGGTATTCGGAAACCCACAAAATGTTAATTTTCCCATATAAGGCATCAAATCCTTCAATGGAGCTTCCACAAATCCTCATGCCTTTTATACACTGGCACTTTCCCTAACAACAGAATCTGTGCCTTTGTTTTGGATGTTGCCATGGGCTCCTCTCATAACACACAGATGAAGTTATGAAGGGCATGGTGATCTAAACCTAGGGAAGGGCCCCATCTGCGATATCAGATCAAATGAATGCCCCCAAAATAGAAGAGGGGGTGAACGAAACTTGCGACAAGATCCAATGGGTCGTGTTGACAGTTGTCGTCAGCTCGTGAGTTTGGTATTTGGGTGTGAGCACTCTCAAGTGATGCTTCTGCAAACACCAGCAGATATCTCTCGGTCAACTATCACTTGTTGTGTTCACATGTGAGATTTAATCCTCAATCAATGGCAATGAAGAGCGATTCCTACATGTATTTTGTAGGTGACTATCACTTGCTCTGTTCACATGAGAGATTTAATCCACAGTCAGTGGCCAAAATAAAAAGTTACTTATCTGACAGTCAATTGTCATATGTTGTGTTCGCATGAGAGATTTAATTCTCAATGAATTGCAATGAAAAACGATACCTAACTCACATCCAACTATCAATTCTTGTGTTCACATGGGAGTTTAATCCTGGTTCATTGGGAAGAGAACCACCGTCAGCACCACAGAGATCCCTTCATCAATTACCACTTGATATGTTCACACAGGAAATTTCATTCTCATGTAAACAGATGGAAGGAGAGCAATAATCATTCTAAATTCAATGGATTTAAAATTTTAAATGCATACCAGAATAATATGATTGATTAGCAATCATCGAACTAATGAAGGTACAGATACAAATACTGATGGGGGGGGGGGGGGGGAGAACACGTTCGATGGAGTTGTTTTCATTTTAAGCTATATGCAAACAACAAAATTAATGCAAATGACAGAGATCGTGAATGAAATATCAGGAACAAACTTGGCCATAGTGTATTTTAATACTAATATGACATTACCATATATTATTGAAAATGGGAACATGACATACATAATGGAGGATGATTTGAAATCAAGAGAATGTTTGTAAATGCAGAGTCAGTGAACCAATGCATGAGAGAGAGATTATAAACAAAAGAGGGTCAACTAAACTTGGCACAGGCATATCTCCATTATCTACTAACCGATACAAGGAATGCTGACGAAGAAGAAGTGGGAACAAAATGGCTGATGGTTTTAAAAGAACAGAAAGGTATTAATTGAGGAGTGTCATCGGCATGGTAATACAGTCTCCCGCTCAGCTGGAGATGATCTGGGAGGAGGATGAGAAAAATCTGTCGCTTAATTTCCTTTGAATTACCCCCACAATGAAATGTATCTAGTGCCCATCTGTCTAGAATTGAAAGGTGATAGTCGGGAAACGGAGGATCGGCGTCGGGCAAAATTACAACGGGATTAAATAAATGGAAAATATGAGTGATCTGTCAACAGCAATAAATGACTCTTGATTTTATGAGCTGGATGTCACTGGTGTATGTTATTAAGGAATATTATTGGTGTTTGTAATGAATATGAATCAAATGTCTGCTTTGATTAAACCATTGAGATGCAAGATGAATCAATGATCGAACGGAAAGGGGAAACTTGACATGAAATGATGATAATAGGTCCAAATCAATTACATCTGCAAGAAATAATGTGCTTAAATGTTACATTCAAGTAATCTGCAAGGATATACAACACTATTTAAAATGCATACTTCATGATACTTGCGAGATGTGCATTAAGCACAAACATGTTTCGCATTGCAAGTTCACATGGACATCATCATCATAACAATATGAGTAACTCCCGAACTCAAGGCTAAGAAAATACACACACAATAAGAGCAAATACTGCCCGAATCTGAAAGCAAAATATTCCACCTAGTGCGCATTTATCAAAGTTAGACCTCTCTATTATTCTAACACACCTGGAGTTGGGTGAAGAAGACACAGAAATTGTCAAGAGGCGCTAATTTGTTTGTTTAAAAATTTAGAAGAAAAATGTTATGAAAGTCAGTGTTCTGGCTAGAGTCAACATTCGGAGTGGATCGAAAGGTCACGGGGTCGGGTTTGATGTGAAACAAGGAGGTAAAGTTTTCCCAGCATTCTTATTGGGGATGAGAAGAAGAAAGAGCGTCTTCCAAAGTCCCGTTTCTCTGGTTGTCACTTTTTACACGTAATGTGTGCATGGGACGTGCAGGGATGTCACAGACAGGCAGTGAGGTTAGGGTGATAGATAATGGTAACGATGATGTGCTCGATCAGCATGGAATGGGTTCAGAAAGAGAACAAGTTAAATTTGGGATATTATGGGAGTTTTTTTGATGTCCTTGGACACATTATGAGGTCAAAGTTTGTTCAGCGGGCATCTTGGATTTATAAGTCATTCTCACTTCATGAAGGTTACATAAATAATATGCAAAAGTAAAGCAGCACATTCATTGATATATGTACTATTAATTATTCAACAAGTCAAAGAAAAAAAATTTACATCCAAGTTTATGATTCCAATCATACTAGAATTTTCAAAGCCAACTGAGCAATCATCAGACCCATCACAAGTCCATCATCATTGTCATCATCATCATCATTATCATAATCATCACCAACATCATCATCATTCTTTATCAACAACCTTATTAACCAGTGACATCAGAGTAATCGAGCATCAAATAAATGTTTAATAACTTACAAAATTTGATTGAAAATTTGTCATGGATGGCTCAATTTTCATGATCATTTTGATTCCCATTTCAAAATTAGACCCTCAATGTCAACACGCGACACTTCTTCCACCAGAGGCAGACAGGGGACGAAACGAACGAACGTAACAAACGATGAGAAATATTGGGGGTAACACGGACAGGGCCGTTGATTGACAGGTGCTGGTATAGTCTGAAGGTGCTAAAAGGTGCGAAAGGACAAATTGTCCTTCTACTAAATGTGTGAAGTCAAGCTCATAACTGTTTGACAGCCCTGCCTGCCTCCTAAGAACAAACTCAGACCTTTGCAGTCGAGGTGGGGTTGTCCATTGATCGAAGGTGTGTGAGTGTGTGTTCGGAGAAGAACCACGTGTTGAACGACGGTGGAAAGAAAATACAGTCTGTGACTCAAAGAGTTGAAAATAAATAACAAAAATCTGTTTTACTCTTTTTTCCCCGCTAGACCTCTTTTTTCAACAACACATGTACTTTCTAAAATTGTGTGTATGTTTATTTTAGGTAATTTGAGGAAATATATGATACTGAGCACATCTTATATTCCCAATCAATCTTAAACAATAAATAAGCATACCGTTACAACTGTTTAGGTCATCCACACAAAACAAACCACACACTCAACTCACATACAGAGGATGCAACAAAATTCTACTTTTGAACCTGTCCGAACGGGCAACTTGATTTTATAAGCACTTGCTCGAATACCGAACTGTTTAGTTGCCATAAAATATATAATCCTATGGCTATATATGCACATTGAGATGAAAGTGTTTTGCTTGCCAATGTGACAGGCATGGCAAAGAAATAGGAATATTTTTTTGTTCTAGGGCAAGAGGGCAAGTTGATATTGTAGCGCCCTGTTTATATGATAAGATTGTCAACTTACATGCAGCAGACTGTCCAATGGTGAGAACGAGAACCGTGGCCAGCACCACCACTGCAACACAATCTATTCTCCACTGCTCCATGATTCAAATGATTAGATGTGTCAGTTCATTGCAGTGTGAAGGCACCTTGTCTTGTGATCACTGAATCAAGAAAGAAATAAGAAAATACATCATTATTTATATTATCAAACTGTTAATGTGAACGCATCCAGATGTGCAAACAAGGCATCACATGAGTATAGTGTGAAATGGACCTAGTCTGGTGATCACTGAATCAAAGAAAGAAATAAGAAATATATCATTATTGAAATTATTAAACTGCTAGTGTGAACACATCCTGATGTGCAAAGAAGGCATCACAAGATGGTAGTGTGAAATGCACCATGTCTTGTGATCACAGCATGAATGAAAGAGAGAAATGGAGGAAAAACATGGTTGTTATCATAAAAATGCTAGTGTGAATAGAACCTGGTGCACAAAAGAAGTCATCATGAGATGGCAGTATGAATGCACCTTGTTATCGCTTCATCATAGGAACGAAGAGAAATGATATGGGTATTTCTTTTCAGAATGCAAGTGAAAACAGAGTTACCGTTGAGTAATAAAAAACATCATGCATACCAAATTGATTGTATATATCTATAGGCATTTATTGCACAATTTAAAAAACAATCAATACAACAATAGAATCAATCAATAAAAACATAGTGCTACAGCAATACTATAAAGAAACTTTTCATCAGTCAACTTCAGATTGTTTGTGTCAAGAGGCCCATCTTATTATCAGTGTAATGCAAAGACAGGGTGAAAAACTGTCAGTGATTATCACAATGTGAATTGATGCAGCCTTTTAACCCCTGCATCAAGGGGGAAAATCCATGAAATGATGTCAATCACCCCCAAGGATTAGTTTTTCAATACATGAAAACAAACATAATTCTATGAGTGATTTATCTCCATCATAAGCACTTATGATGTTCCATCCTGTAATAGCTTGTAATTATCCCTGCAAAAGCATGTATGACCCTGCCTTAATCTTGATAACACCATGAAATAAACCCATTACCTCAATGCCAGAAATAATCCTCCGCTGCAATTCAGTTTACACACACCAAAAAAAATAACACTATGCACCCAAAAGAAAAGAAATCACCAGTGCAGATAGTACAACGTTGTGTATTATGACAGTTCAATCCCTGAAAGAAGCCCCACAAAATTCCTGCCTTCACGGCTTTATCTTTTGCGTTCCGTATATCCAGTGTTTAAGCGTACAAAGTCACGGTCATTATTTATACAGTAGTGTCGTCCGGCCGGCGCTATAAATGGTATTCAGTGATGTCCGACACCATGGCCGTCTCATGCGAAGATAAATAAGTAATCCAGGTTAAGTTTCCAACGGTGCGACTGGACGGTCGGCGCAGCAACTCGCAAATGGTGACCCGCGACCGATGCGGACGTATATAAAAGGCAGAAATGGGCACGCAAATGGGTGCTGAATTAGGGAGTATAATGCTGAGTGATTATAGCCGTGTCCCGACGACCGACAACGTTCGCAGTGCCAGTCAAGTACGAAGGATGGTGAAAGGCTTGTAAATAAGGTTATACAAACACATCCAAACAGTCAAATAGACTCACTGCACCTCCAAAATATCAACTTTGCCTGCGACAATGCAACAAACTCGTCTTTCACTGGAGGCTATATACAACGACAGCATTTTTCCTCTAAAAAATTCACTAATCAATCACGGCATAGATATGTTTGGAATTCTTCCTCTATTGTTGATGATTTCTCTTCACCTCTGCACGGTGAATGAAAAATAACCTCCATTGTGTTCTTATTTTTCTTGCTGTTGTTGTACTTTTCACCACCGGGCATTCGGGTACATGCTAAATAAACAGAGGGCGAAGGAAAGAACACTTGGAATAGAAAATGGAGTACCAGTTGAAATCATTTGTGGTTTTCAAATGGGAACTGATATTTTAAATAGGAATGAAGCTTGAATGCCTATATTTGGATGATAATTAACTTTTGGGCTAAATTCTTTTGAAAGTGAGAAAGATAAAGCATATGATTTTGAATCACATCAAAATAAATGAAAAAGTACAAGGTTTGAGTTGATACGGTTTCAGAGAAGTCACAAAAATATGAGTGGGTAAAGTTTGTTCAACTTGCTCGTAAACAACTGTAATTAACTCTACGCTGCTTCATGTAACACTCATCCCTTGGTTTGATAATTTGTGCGAAAGCCAAATTGCATTTTGCCTGACAGCATAAATCTGTAATGAAATTTATCTGGTACTAAGGGACAAATTACACAGAAAAACAAAACTGAAAGCAGGAAAGCTGGACACAAATTTGATCTATCTGAACTAGAAAACCATACTTTTTCTTTTCTCCCACATACACTAAAACTTCCCATAGGAGAAAGGAACATGTGGAAAAAATCAGACTCCTCGAAAATCAAATTGATCAAATTTGTGGAACAATTTCCATTGATTCTGCTGGAATTTGACCCATTTCTCTTTTTTTTCGGAAAGCTTCCCTTTTATCGCCTGACTGATCAATAGAGCCATAAACAAATCAAACCTCCCATCGTCTGAAAACTCACAACCCAGATTCTCTCCATCTCTCTCTAGATACCTTTTAATCAGTCTGGCAGGAAAATAAGACGCCATCTTGAAAACCTATCTGTCTCTTTCCATGGCACTCAAATTATCAAATATGATCTGATGCACGTAGAGCAATTGGGGCCCGGTGAGAAATAGCGCTTTCCTCCAATTTTCCACAATTTTCCACTTGGGGGAAGACGTTGTATCCTGATCTGATGGTTTTTCCACCTGAGTATCTTTACAAGTCCCTAAAGTTATTAGATTGATGGAGGCATTCACAACAAAAATCTAATTCTAAATGGGAAAGTTGTATCCGAATTACCTGTTCTGATCATTTTTTTTCTACCTCAGTGTCTTGTATAGTCCCACAAGTAATTGCATTGAGCGAGGTGTTCACACTACAACTCTAATCCTGTAAAAAAAATTCCCCTGTGTTTTTTTCCAACCGAATGTCTTTGAGAATACCTAAAATCATCAGGAACCATTTCAGAATTCCATTATAGGATAGTTTCCTTTCCATGTGAATGTCTCGTATAACCCTGCAAAGACTTTTATTGGGGTGTTCATACTAAGAATTTAGTCCTACGTGGAGGAATAAAGATTCCCCTCCCTGAAAGTTTGCTTCCTATATATACCTGTGCGTCTTTAAAAATGCCTAAAGTAATGATAATATGATAGATGATGGAGGCATTCACATAAGAAATTATTCTTATACAAAGAAGTCATATCACAACTCCTTAATCTGGTTGATTTTAAAACCAGAGTGTAAAAGTCCCTGAAGTAATGGGATTAAAGGTATATCTCCTAAAAATGTGAAAACTTTATCTCGTTGGTTTTGGCATGAACATCTTTACAATCCTCTGAACTTATGACACTGATGGAGGTGTTCACACAAAGAATCACATTGGATTTGACCCATTTTTTTTCTCAAGAGGGAGTTTGCAATGTTTCCCAAATTGGATTTCTCTTTCAATTACACCCACCCCATGACCGTTAACAAACTTATCTCTTGATGCGGAGCAAAATTTTGATTTTACAGAAAGGAGAACATATAGTGAATGTTTCATCAAATCTGTCTAAATCTGTCTTGCAATAGAAAACTCCTCAAAAGATAAATTTCAATCGCAATTATCCTTTGTAATGTATGCAAAGTTATTCATATCACAGATCTTCTTTTTTTTAGAGCCAGAAGTGCATTCTTTCATCACTTTACACAGAGTTGACGCCCTTCTGCCTCAAAACAGAAAAACATCAAATTTTACTTCAAGTCTGACCAATTCACTTCTCTCATCATCATTGAGAAACATGATAACTTATTTTATCGAGAGATGGATTAAATGAACACAGAACACCAGGATTATTCAAGAGTACTTTCAAAATGGAAAAGACCTCCCCGTGGGGTTCTTCTGTCAGAATATGATGAACTTGGCAAGTAACAGAGCAGAACACATAAGCACTCAAGCAGGTTTCAGAGGGGAGGAAGGGGGTATGATCTCCTACAAAATTATATTGAAAGGGATAGCCTGGCTTCCAGACAAGATAGATAATTTCAGATTATTTATTTCACTCCTAGTAAATAAGACCGAGTATAACCACGTTTGCAACAATAATAATAATATTGGATATTTATATAACGCACATATCCACATGCAAGGTGCTCAAGGCGCTCTGAATATTACCCGGCTCTACTAGGCTGCGGATTTCGGCACTCACAGCATTCAAGGAATTCCTTCCTACCAGTACCCATTTAACACCTCGGTGGAGAGTGGCAAATGTAGATTAATGTCTTGCCTAAGGACTATCATATCTTACACTCTAAATTTCTCTACAACAGAAAAGAGAGTGAGGTTAGTCTATATTCCAGACTAAGTTCAGTTGTTTCTAGAGAGTGGAAGACTTTATTTGTGCCTGAAAGCCAGACTACGGATGGAGGAGAAGAGCTTGAAGATACATACTGCACAGGAAGTTAAACCAAGGAAAAATAATATGAAGGTAAGATATAAGCATGAAAGAAGGAACATTATGAAAGCCCTTACAGACAGGAGATCATTTTTGCAATGTAACATAAAGCAGATGAGACAGCAAAAATGATGAGCTAAGAATCGCAACAAATCCAAAGACGCACTCTGGAATTCCTTCATCGCTGCCTGAATAAAGACGAGAAAGAGAACTATAACTAAAAACGTCATCACCTTGCGTTGGCCATGACATGACAAGTCTCCTGGCAATAAAGAGCAATAATATTTGACTAGATACCCTTTCATTGGAGCCATTTAACCACCAATTATAAAACTTTCATGTAGTGATTCTTTAGTAAACATGGCCTGTTTGCAGTTACACCCAGTTCAGGTATGAAGGGCTGTCAGGCGGCTTGCTTGCTCGCTCGCTCGGAGAGGGCAAAACTATTTTCGTTGTGGACATTCTCACGCTGGATGATGAGCGTTACGGTTTATTTAGACTGCACACGTGAGTAGTCGGCGGGGAGGTCATGTGGTATGGAGAAAGGCACGTGAAGGTTACAGGTTCCAATT